ATCCCACTGACAATGTTTCCTCCACTATAGACATCCCAGTAACAACGTTCCTCCACCAGACATCCCAATGACAATGTTTCCTCCACCACAGACATCCCACTGACAATGTTTCCTCCATCACAGACATCCTACTGACAATGTTTCCTCCACCAGACATCCCAGTGACAATGTTTCCTCCACCACAGACATCCCAGTGACAATGTTTCCTCCACCACAGACATCCCAGTGACAATGTTTCCTCCACTACAGATATCCCAGTGACAATGTTTCATCCACCACAGAAATCCCAGTGACAATGTTTCCTCCACTATAGACATCCCAGTGACAATGTTTCCTCCTCCACAGACATCCCACTAACAATGTTTCCTCCACCACAGACATCCCAGTGACATTGTTTCCTCCACCACACAGACATCCCAGTTACAATGTTTCGTCCACCACAGACATCCCAGTGACAATGTTTCCTCCACTACACAGACATCCCAGTGTGTCTTACTCTCTCCGTTGGTTTGGAATTTGCATTATCTTGCCCACTGCCTCTCCCTTAACCCTTTCCTACTCTTTTAAGCTCTGTCTGCACAACAAACAGAAGTTGTAGTTCACTCTGCATCAAGTCAGAGCACTGTGACCCCAAGTGACAATGTTTCCTCCATCACAGACATCCCAGTGACAAAGTTTCCTCCACCGCAGACATCCCAGTGACAATGTTTCCTCCACCACACAGACATCCCAGTGTTTCTTACTATCTCCATTGGTGTGGAATTTGCATTATCTCACCCACTAACTCTCCCTTAACCCTTTTCTACTCTTTTAAGCTCTGTCTGCACAACAAACAGAAGTTGTAGTTCACTCTGCATCAAGTCAGAGCACTGTGACCCCAAGTGACAATGTTTCCTCCACCACAGACATCCCAGTGTTTCTAACTCTCTCAATTAGTGTGGAATTTGAATGATCCTGCCCACCGCCTCTCCCTTAACCCTTTCCTACTCTTTTCAGTTCTGTCTGCACAACAAACACAGAGGAATTGATCAACAACTTAACATACTGGAGGGTTTGGGGGATTGGCTCCACATGATGGAAGTTGTAGTTCCCCTGCATCAAGTCAGAGCACTGTGACCCCCACTGGCAATGGACATGGACCACATTTGGCACACAATACTGGAGAGGTTGGGGGGGGGGGGGGGGATTCACCTTGACTTATAGCTGTTGTGGGTACTGGGATTTATAGTTCATCTACAATTAAATGATACTCTGGGCCACCAGCAATGGCCCTGGACCTCACTTGGCACACAGAACCCCCTTGACCAAAAGAAAATACTGAAGGGCTTTGGGGGGAACTGACCTTCATTTCTGGAAGTTGTAGTTCACTTACATCCTGAGACACTGCAACCACCACCAATGACGGATCTGGATCTTCTTTTGCTATGGGAATTACAGGTAACAAGTCGACATGGATTTCAAGGAAGCAGCCACATCTTGGCTTCAACCCTTTCTTTCATCCTGCTCCCATTTCCCTTGGTCTCCCTTGGCTTAAACGGCGCCCTATAATTCCCACGACCTTGCCCTTTTGTTAGGAGGATTGTTAGGAGGGTTCCTTGCCTCAAAGGGGAAAAGAGAGCGCCGAGAGATCCCATGCGGACACACGTGGAACCCCGCTGGGTGCCTTCCATTGTCTTGTTGTCTCGATGGACCCTGCTTCTCACTTCTGGGGCAGGAACAAAAGATCATGCGCTTGCCAGGAGGGCTGTTTCTAGACGGCTGAGCGAGTGCATTCTGCAATGCTCTTTGATTGTAGGTGAACTATAAATCCCAGCAACTACAACTCCCAAATGACAAAATCAACCCCCCAACCTCACCAGTATTCAAATTTGGGCATATCGGGTATTTGTGTCAAATTTGGTCCGGTGAATGGAAATACATCCTGCATATCAGATATCCACATTTCGATTCATAACTATAGCAAAATTACATTTATGAAGTAGCAACGAAAATAATTTTATGGTTGGGGGTCACCACAACATGAGGGACTGTATTAAGGGGTCGTGGTATTGGGAAGGTCAAGAAACACTAACCTAAAGCTTTGGAGAGCTTTTGTTCGATCGTTTCAAAGCCCCCTGCTTGAGTGGTGATGGCACGATCATCAGCGTAGATGAAACACTCAGAAGTAAAGCTGAAGTACTTTGGCCACATAAGAGGCAGTAAGAGCACCTAAAGCTTCGGAGAGCTTCTGTTCAACCATTCCAAAGCTCCCTGCTTGGGTGGTGATAGCACGATCGTCAGCATAGATGAAACTCTCTGTCCCTTCTGGCAATGGCTGACCGTTTGTGTAAATGTGTTGATGGTGCAACTTGGTTTCCCATATAATAGGCAATAAGAGCACCTAAAGTTGCAGAGAGCTGTTCGACCAAGCTCCCTACTTGGGCGGTGATGGCACAATCATCAGCGTAGATGAAACTCTCTCTCCTTCTGGCAGTGGCTGATCATTTGTGTAAATGTTAAACTGATGGAGCAAGTGTGCTTCCTTGAGGCAGGCCATTTTTCTGTTTTCACCATCTGCTTCTCTGGCTCTTGGACTCTGTTCAACCATTCAAAGCTCCCTGCTTGGGTAGTGATGGCATGATTGTCAGCATAGATGAAACTCTCTGTCCATTCTGGTAGTGGCTGGTCATTTATGTAAATGTGAAACATTGATAGAGTAAGGACACTCCCCTAAAGCAGGCCGCTCATTGGGTTTTTGCCATCTTCTTCTCTGTCCCTGGAAGTCAACAAAAAAGCTACCTCACCCGCCTCATAGGAAACCTGCTACAAAACAGGAGCTTCTTTGTTGAGTTCCAGGGCCAGAGAAGCAGATGGCGGAAACAGAAGAACGGCCTGCCTCAGGGGAGCGTGCTTGCTCCATCCATGTTCAACATCTACACACATGACCAGCCACTGCCAGAAAGGACAGAGAGCTTCATCTATGCTGATGATCGTGCCATCACTGCTCAAGCAGGGAGCTTTGAGATGGTTGAACAGAAGCTCTCCGAAGCTCTAGGTGCTCTTACTGCCTATTACAGGGAAAACCAGCTGATCCCTAATCCATCTAAAACACAGACATGTGCCTTTCATCTTAAGAACAGACAAGCATCCCGAGCTCTGAGGATTACCTGGGAAGGAATCCCACTGGAGCATTGCAGCGCACCCAAATACCTGGGAGTCACTCTGGACCGTTCTCTGACCTACAAGAAGCACTGCCTGAACATCAAGCAAAAAGTGGGTGCTAGAAACAATATCATACGAAAGCTGACTGGCACAACCTGGGGATCACAACCAGATACAGTGAAGACATCTGCCCTTGCGCTATGCTACTCTGCTGCTGAGTATGCATGCCCAGTGTGGAACACATCTCACCACACTAAAACAGTGGATGTGGCTCTGAATGAGACATGCCGCATTATCACGGGGTGTCTGCGCCCTACACCACTGGAGAAATTACACTGCTTAGCCGGTATTGCACCACCTGACATCCGCCGGGAAGTAGCAGCCAATAGTGAAAGGACCAAGGCAGAGACATCTCCAGCGCATCCCTTGTTTGGGTATCAGCCAGCACGTCAACGACTTAAATCAAGAAATAGTTTTCTAAGATCTACAGAGACACTCGCTGGAACACCCCAGCAAGCGAGAGTCCAAAAGTGGCAGGCTCAACCCAGCACCTCAACCAATGGCTGATACCAAATGAGAGACTCCCCCCTGGGCACACAGAGACTGGGCGACTTGGAAGGCGCTGAACAGACTGCGCTCTGGCACCACGAGATGCAGAGCCAACCTTCAGAAATGGGGCCACACAGTGGAATCCACGACATGCGAGTGCGGAGAGGAGCAAACCACTGACCACCTGCTGCAATGAACCCTGAGCCCTGCCACATACACCATGGAGGACCTCCTTGCGGCAACATCAGAGGCACTCCAAGTGGCCAGAGACTGGTCAAAGGACATTTAACCAACTACCAAACTCACAAATTGTGTATTCTGTTTGTATTTTGTATTTTTGTATTTTGTCTGTTTGTTTGCTTTGTTCTGTTAGAAATGTAATATAATTGACTGGTTGCTGGTGACTCGATAAATAAAAAAACAAAAAAGCTCCTGTTTCGTAGCAGATTTCCTTGAGTGGTGATGGCACAATCGTCAGTATAGATGAAACTCTCTGTCCAACTCGGGGATCCTATGATTTTATTGTGTTTCAAGTCTCAAGGTGTGACGTTCCAGGGAATTGCTGCACATTTGCAACGTAGCCACCCTTTCCGCACTTTATTGAGAAGCGTGTGATCGGGGGGACACGCTTTGGATGGATGAGAATGTGATGCTCCCGCGTTGACAGTCCGCCTCTTCCCTCCTGGCCCTTCTACCCTCCCAACGTGCCTTCCAGCCTCCCCCCTCGTTCGACACTTCCCTCCCCAGCCTTATTACGAGAGGATATTGATTTTTTAAAATCTGTGTGAGAAGAAGGGCAAAGAGAAGGATGGAGGAAGGGGGAGACGACGGTGCTGTAATTGTATATTAGATATTTTGGCGCTGGCTTGCGATAAGAGCGGCTTTCGGCACAGTCGTTCAGGAGGGCTGGAGGAAGGCTTTGAGATCCGCTAGAGAACGAAAGAAAGAACGAAAAGAGGAGGAATACCGTGTTTGTGTAAGGGAGGTCTCTGCTTCGCCCCGCTTCGTGCTCCTTATTACCACCCGCCGAGACCCCAGCTGGACATGAAACGTGCGGACACACCCAAGGCACGAAAATAATGCCGTTCGGTCAGGAGTGGAACTCGATTTCCACATTTATGGCTTGCCGTTGATCTGTCCCTTGCCTATCTGGGTGTCCGTCCCGTCCAACTTTTTGCCCCGCTCCATCTCGTCCCGTCCCCCCTCTTCCTCAATTATGTACAGAATGTCCCCCCAAAATCTTTGAATCATATTTTAGGTCTAATTCTCTTTCCCTTCTTCCTCCCTCCATCCTTTTTGCACTCTTCCAGATGAAGTTTTAGGCAAGAGGAGAGCCTGCTCACCCAACAGCAACAGCGAGTGTCCCCTCGAAAGCAAGAAATCCCGAAGTGAGTCCCCAAAAGGTATGCGTCTCTCTCTCTATGTCTATGTATACTATTTATTATTTTTTTCCGAAGTGTGGGGCGGATGGGGTGAGGTTTGATGGATACTACGCTGACTCAAAATATATCAAAATTATTTATGTTGATCTATTTTACGTGTATTTTGTATGTTTGTAGCACTAATATGTGCTGATTTGTAAGCCGCCCCAAGTCCCTTTGGGAGATGTAGTAGTAGTTGTAGTTGTTGTATGTGCTGTTTTATAAGTTGCCCCGAGTCCCTTTGGGAGATGTAGTAGTAGTAGTAGTAGTAGTAGATGCATGTGCTGTTTTATAAGTTGCCCCAAGTCCCTTTAGAAGATGTAGTAGTAGTAGTAGTAGTTGTTGTTGTTATTGCATGTGCTGTTTTATAAGTTGCGCCAAGTCCCTTTGGGAGATGTAGTGGTAGTAGTAGTAGTAGTAGTTGTTGTTGTATATGGTGTTTTATAAGTTGCCCCGAGTCCCTTTGGGAGATGTAGTAGTAGTAGTAGTAGTAGTAGATGCATGTGCTGTTTTATAAGTTGCCCCAAGTCCCTTTAGAAGATGTAGTAGTAGTAGTAGTAGTAGTAGTTGTTGTTGTTATTGCATGTGCTGTTTTATAAGTTGGCCTGAGTCCCTTTGGGAGATGTAGTAGTAGTAGTTGTTGTACGTTCTGTTTTATAAGTTGCTCTGAGTCCCTTTGGGAGATGTAGTGCTAGTAGTAGTAGTTGCTGTTATTGTATGTGCTGTTTTATAAGTTGCGCCGAGTCCCTTTGGGAGATGTAGTGGTAGTAGTAGTAGTAGTATTGTTGTTGTATGTGGTGTTTTATAAGTTGCCCCAAGTCCCTTTGGGAGATGTAGTGGTAGTAGTAGTAGTTGTTGTTATTGTATGTGCTGTTTTATAAGTTGCCCCGAGTCCTTTTGGGAGATGTAGTGGTAGTAGTAGTAGTAGTAGTTGTATGTGCTGTATTGTAAGCTGCCCCGAGTCCCTTTGGGAGATGTTGTTGTTGTATGTGCAACTTACAAAACAACACATACAACAACATCATCTCCCAAAGGGACTCAGGGCCCCAAGTCCCTTTGGGAGTTGTTGTTGTTGCTGCCGTATGTGCTGTTTTGCAAGCCACCCCAAGTCCCTTTGGGAGATGTTGTTGTTGTATATGTGGTTTTGTAAGCCACCCCAAGTCCCTTTGGGAGATGTTGTTGTTGTTTTATGTGTGGTTTTGTAAGTTGCACAACTTACAAAACAGCACATACAACAACATCTCCCAAAGGGACTCAGGGCCCCAAATCCCTTTGGGAGTTGTTGCTGTATGTGCTGTTTTGTAAGCTACCCCAAGTCCCTTTGGGAGATGTTGTTGTTGTTTTATATGTGGTTTTGTAAGTTGCACAACTTACAAAACAGCACATACAACAACATCTCCCAAAGGGACTCAGGGCCCCAAATCCCTTTGGGAGTTGTTGCTGTATGTGCTGTTTTGTAAGCTACCCCAAGTCCCTTTGGGAGGTGTTGTTGTTGTTGTTGTTGTTGTTGTTTGTATGTGTTGTTTTGTAAGCCGCCCCGAGTCCCTTTGGGAGATGTTGTTGTTGTATGTGTTGTTTTGTAAGCCGCCCCGAGTCCCTTTGGGAGATGTTGTTGTTGTATGTGCTGTTTTGTAAGCTGTCCTGAGCCCCTTTGGGAGATGTTGTTGTTGTTGTATTTTCTGTTTCCTAAGCCACCCCAAGTCCCTTTGGAAGATGTTGTTGTTGTTGTTGCTGCTGCTGTATGTGCTGTTTTGTAAGCCAGCTCGAGTCCCTTTGCGCAATGTTGTTGTTGTTGCATGTGCTATTTTGTAAGCCACCCCAAGTCCCTTTGAGAGATGTTGTTATTGTTGTTGTTTGTACTATTTTGTAAGCCGCCACAAGTCCCTTTGGGAGTTGTTGTTGTATGTGTTGTTTCGTAAGTTGCCCCAAGTCCCTTTGGGAGTTGTAGTTATTGTTGTTGTTGTTGTATGTACTGTTTGGTAAGCCACCCCAAGTCCCTTTGGGAGATGTTGTTGTTGTTGCTGTATGTCTTGTTTTTTGTAAGCCGCCCTGAGTCCCTTTGGGAGTTGTTGTTGTTGTTACTGTGTGTACTAACCCAACAAGATTAGTACACAGCAGAGAAGATCACTCTGCTGGCTGTTGTATTGCATCACACGTCGGATACTTCCCAAGTGTCTAGGACTGTGTGATGTATTGGTGAATAATACGTGCAGATCCCAGTAAGCTGACAGGTGGCAATTTTGTCAGTGCTGCTTGTTTTTAAGTGCAGGCCAAGGTCTTTAGGCGCTGCACCCATTATTATTATTATTATTATTATTATTATTATTATTATTATTACATGACGATTCATTAGGGTAGCAAAATGACAGTTGTGATGTAGCAACGAAAATAATGTGATGGTTGGGGGCCACCACAACATGAGGGACTGTATTAAGGGGTCGCGGCATTAGGAAGGTTGAGAAACACGGAGTTAGAAGAAGGCAAAGCGTATCCTTGCCTGGGCGAAATGCGTGCCCCTCGCAGAGCCTCGATTCCTTGGAGGCATTGTTGTCTTAAGTTCAAAGTAATTAGCAATCGATAACGCTCCTGCTGATTAGGATTGCTTGACCTGCGTTTCGACAGCGTAGCCTACGCAACCGGCAACGGTTTTGCAACGCTGGTTTCTGTGCCAATAATTAGCAGAGCATCACTCTGAATCGGACTATTTGCTCTCAATGGAGTTCGGGGAAAATAGACCTTGTCATTTGGGAGTTGTAGTTGCTGGGATGTATAGTTCACCTACAATCCAAGAGCATTCTGAAACCCCACCAACGATAGAATTGGGCCAAACTTGGCACACAGAACTCCCATGACCAACAGAAAATACTGTAAGGGTTTGGTGGGCATTGGCCTTGAGTTTGGGAGTTGTAGTTCACCTACATCCAGAGAGTACTGTGGACTCAAACAATGATGGATCTGGACCAAGCTTGGTAGAAATCCTCAATGTGCCCAAATGTGAACACTGGTGGAGTTTGAGGAAAATAGACCTTGACATTTGAGAATTATAGTTGCTGGGATTTATAGTTCACCAACAATCAAAGAGCATTCTGAACTCCAGTAACGATGGAATTGTACCCAACTTCCCACACAGAACTACCACAACCAACAGAAAACACTGGAAGGGTTTGGTAGGCATTGACCTTGAGTTTTGGAGTTGTAGTTCACCTACATCCAGAGAGTACTGCAGACTCAAACAATGATGGATCTGGAGAAAACTTGGCACGAATACTTAATGTGCCCAAATGTGGACAGTGGTGGAGTTTGGAGAAAATAGACCTTGACATTTGGGAGTTGTAGTTGCTGGGATTTATAGTTCACTTACAATCAAAGACCATTTTGAACCCCGCCGACGATAGATTTGGGCCAAACTTGACACACAGTACTCCCCGACCAAGAGTTTGGGGGAAACAGAATTTGCCATTTGGGGAAGTAGTTGCTGGGATTTATAGTTCACTTACAATCAAAGACCATTCTGAACCCCGCCAACGATAGAATTGGGCCAAACTTGAGACACAGTACTCCTCGACCAAGAGTTTGGGGGAAACAGACCTTGACATTTGGGGATGTAATTGCCGGGATTTATAGTTTACTTACAATCAAAGACCATTCTGAACCCCGCCGATGATAGAATTGGGCCAAACTTGAGACACAGTACTCCTTGACCAAGAGTTTGGGGGAAACAGACCTTGACATTTGGGGATGTAATTGCCGGGATTTATAGTTTACTTACAATCAAAGACCATTCTGAACCCCGCCGACGATAGAATTGGGCCAAACTTGAGACACAGTACTCCTCGACCAAGAGTTTGGGGGAAACAGACCTTGACATTTGGGGATGTAATTGCCGGGATTTATAGTTTACTTACAATCAAAGACCATTCTGAACCCCGCCGATGATAGAATTGGGCCAAACTTGAGACACAGTACTCCTCGACCAAGAGTTTGGGGGAAACAGACCTTGACATTTGGGGATGTAATTGCCGGGATTTATAGTTTACTTACAATCAAAGACCATTCTGAACCCCGCCGACGATAGAATTGGGCCAAACTTGAGACACAGTACTCCTCGACCAAGAGTTTGGGGGAAACAGACCTTGACATTTGGGGATGTAATTGCCGGGATTTATAGTTTACTTACAATCAAAGACCATTCTGAACCCCGCCGATGATAGAATTGGGCCAAACTTGAGACACAGTACTCCTTGACCAAGAATTTGGGGGAAACAGACCTTGACATTTGGGGATGTAGTTGCTGGGATTTATAGTTCACCTACAATCAAAGAGCATTCTGATAGAATTGGGCCAAACTTCCCACATAGATCCCTCAAGTTTTGAAGGGACTAGCTGGTGCGAGTCTCCCTCCAGCCTCGCATACTCTCCCTTGCCCGCACATGCGCACCATGCCGCCATGCGCCGAGCACGCCTGCTCCCCCCTCCCTTCTTGGAGTCTCAGAAGCAGGGATTTTGGATCATAAATGCTATCAAAGTCACCGAAAACAAGTGGCCTTAATGTGTAAAATGCTGCTTTTTCGTTTCCATACGTTGCGAGCCGACGCCTGCGCAATCTCCCAACCCACACCTACTCGTTTCCCTTCGTTTTCTCCCTCTCCTCCTCCTCCCGCGGCTGCATCCTCTGAAAAATTAATCAAGGTGATAGCAGTTTAATCCATCTCCCGGAGAAGGCGGCTAAGCTTTAATCAGGCTTTCCCCGAGACCTGGCTATCTCTTGCTTGGGAATCAATGCTTGATTTTGAGGCCTTCCATTTATCTAGAGCAGTGTTTCTCAACCTTCCTAATGCCATGAACCCTTAATACAGTTCCTCATGTTGTGGTGACCCCCAACCATAGATATGAGTTTCATCTATGCTGACGATGGTGCCATCACCGCTCAAGCAGAGAGCTTTGAAACGGTTGAACAGAAGATCTCCAAAGCTTCTCGACCT